TTAGTAAAGCATCTCCCACACACGCTAGTCTCATCGCGACAAGTTGTCTAGCAAGTGACAATTCAGCCTTTCAACAGTCGCTGTGAACCTGACGTTACATTAACTGTGAAAATTTATCCCTTCTTTGAGATGGCCATTACTTCTGGGATGCCATATTGCTTTTGGACCTTAAATGTAAGTTGTTAGATAGTGCCAGACTGGGCAACAATACGCTTCACTGGTAATTGATCCTTGTTATTTTTGTTTTATTCATTAATGTAGTGGTGTTCCCATTTATGAGGCCTGTACTTCAGTTGGTCACCAGTCTGTTCTTTCATTCTTCTGCAACTGAAGCAGCAGCATCTGCAGCCTTTATTATGAAAGCTGCAGAAGAGGTGTTGCATTTGAGGAGGGAGAGTGGAGTATCACAGGTAACTCAAGCTCTGTTTTGTTTACTGAAAGAAACTGTTACAACTGCTCTTGACAGTTCATTTGCTGCACAAGCTGTGAATTGCCTTTCTGTTTTGCAGAGGAAAGATCTGTTGGAGCTAATGTTGCGTGCAGAAGTCACTGACAAAGACGGCAAACATGTGAGTAAACTGAGTGATGATGAAGTTCTGGCACAGTCTTTTACATTCATCTTAGCTGGATATGAGACAACAAGCAATGCTTTGGCATACACAACATACTGTCTAGCTTTGAACCCTGAAGTGCAGGAGAAACTCATTGAGGAAATTGACGAAGCTGTTGGAGACAAGGTTAGTAGACAAATACAATGTTCATGATGAACATGCAGCTGACACACTTGGAGGAGATCTTCCTATCTATCCATCCAGCGAGGGATAGATAGATAGATAGATTGATTGATTGATTGATTGATTGATTAACTGATTTCAAAAATGTTTGCAGTTAAATACATACATGCAAACTGACAGTATCGGAGCACATTATTTCTCACACACATGCAAACAGCTTTAACACTAATGTAAAAATTGCATTACAACATCACATCCATACAATTTCAAAATAAGTGGCAAATCCACAACTTTTTTCTTTAGATTTTATGGGCATGTTTGTAAGCATCCCTAAATATTGGTTTGTGCAATTTTGGGACTGCAGTGAAATGTGTTTGTTTACTGATAACTTGTTTGCGGGATCTTGTTTTGTAGGAAACTGCTGACTATGAGACAGTCCAGAATTTGGAGTATTTGGACATGGTGTTGTGTGAAGCATTACGTCTGTATCCACCTGCTTTCAGGTATATCAAGCTCATTATCAGACTGTTATACAAAGTTGTTCTTGTAATAGTGATATTTTAACAGGAAGCTTCCTCACCCGTAGGTGATCTACAGAAAGGTCCCGATCCAAAATAACATTAAATTATTAAAAAATAAATACACAAATTAAAAAATATATTAAAAATACAAAAGTAAATTATAAACTAATAGATTTAAAAAAATTACTTTTAAACTGACATATGGTGTTCTTCTCACCCATGGAATTCAGTCACCTTAAGGCCACTAGGAATGAGTTGTAAAATTTATTTGTAGCTTAGCACATAACTATGGGAGGAGCGATGGACTAGAATCCCATCCAGGTGGGGAGTAGAAATACTCCTAGTCACTTCATGCTACATAAACTGGGATAAGTTCCAGCCTGATGAGCCAGTTGCAGTTGGCTCGTATGCAGACTTTACCTTTACCTCGCACAGAACTGTTAATAGGTTATTACTAAAAGAAAAAAGTAAATGCTTACAAATACAGTGGAACCCCATTAACATGGTCACCTATGGGCCATAAAAATTTGGCCATATTAACTGGGTAGGATCAAACCTCACGACTGGTCTAAGCTGACTGACATCTTAACAGATATATCACAATCGCACCTCTAAACAACTGTTCTTATCTTAGCATCCAAAATCTGGATATAATTTTAAAGAAAGTGAAAATAAACAGGGTAAACTTATAAAGGAATTTACAGGTTGGGATTTCAGAATGTGGGCGTTGGCCATAGTAATGGGGTGGCTGCATTAACAGGGTTTTTCTTTTAAGAAGATGTATGGGGGTTTCGCTGGGACAAGAAAAAGTAGCTGTAATAACAAGGTGACCATATTAGCGAGGCAGCCGTAAGGCGGGACTCCACTGTAGTAAAGAGGAAACAAATTTTATGAAAAATTGTGTTACTTTGCATTTGTGGATCTGTTTTCACTCATAGAAGGCCACTTACTGGTCAGTAGTAAACAGAGTCCTTTATGCTTATATCAAATGAAAATGTTTTTCTTTCTTTTCTGATCATTCAGATTTGGACGTATTTGCAGTGAAAGCTGCACATTAAATGGTGTACACTTTCTTAAGGATACAATGGCAATTGTTCCTGTTTACCATCTTCACCGTGACCCAGAATATTGGCCAGATCCAGAGACCTTTGATCCTGAGAGGTACACTGAATCCTTAGGATTGTGAAACCTATGCTATACAAACAAATCAAAGTTGACCATAAGAGTTGGACCATTTGACTTTTGAGGGTGGGGGAAGTTGGGTGATTTGGTATACTAGACATGAATTTTGTTTTTCTAGCCCTTTCATGCACTTTTTTCTTGAGCATTTTTTCTGGACATGCATATGCATGATATAAGTCAAATGGTCCACCACAATCAGGATCAACTGAAAAATAGAAACAAGCATGAATGCCGTAAATCCTTGAATTAGTGTCTATTTCAAGTTTAGGAGAACAGGGGAGGGTGCTTATTCAAGGAAGGTACTTAATTGAGGGTTTGCTTTTCTTAATTTTTCCCAAATCCCGACCAGATATGATCATATTTTGAAAGTGGAGGGGGGCACTTATTCAAGGGGAGGGGCTTATTTTAAATTTTGGCCTATAGGAGGGGTGCTTATTTGAGTGGAGGCACTAATTTGAGGATTTAAGGTACTCATTGTCAGGTGATCCTTGTGTTGTAGGGTTCCCTTTGCACTTGTTTCTCTAAACAACAGTGTTGTGAATACATCAAAGCTTGTAGCAAGATGAGATGAGAACTTATTTGCCAAAATTTGGATTTGTTAATTTAGTTGTGCAATATTTAAGCACCTAAAAAGCTGCTCAGAAGATGAAAGTAGACTTGTACAGTTGTGTATACTTTATGATTTTTATCATTGTAAGTTATGGTAATGCTCTCTAAGGTTTATTCTTTTGTACATGTTCACATCACCTACCACTTTACAATGCATTGAACAGATATTGTATGCTGGGGATATATTTAATGTTGATCACTCTGTTTGTTTCTTCATTTGTGTGTTTAGGTTTTCCCCGGAAGCCAAACAGAAGCGCAGCCCATACTGTTATCTTCCGTTTGGCACAGGACCACGATCCTGTATTGGCATGAGATTTGCACTCATAGAAGCTAAACTAGCGTTGGTTCATCTACTGAAGAGGTTTACATTTCAGCGTTCTGCAGAGACTGAGGTATTGTTGGAAAATATCAAACTTTTTCTTTGTGCAAGAAATTCTTAAATTACATTGTTGGACATAGAAATCCCATATGTGACTGGATAACATACTTTTTTAACAGGTACCCCTTCAACTCAAGGCTGCTGTGACAATGGCCCCAAAGAATGGGATTCAAGTCAAAATCATTTCAAGGAAATAAGGAACTGAACAGTTAGCAGGCTTTCCAAAATGACTCAAAACATATGGATCCTAAATTTAACAGACTAAAATGAAAACATGTTCATTAGCTGAATTATTATGATCCAGTGATATAGCAAAATTGATTTAACTGTGTTTTGGTGGTATTTTGGGCCATTGTGCAAGGTATTTGCACCAGTGAAGCCGGTCTTTCTTCAGGTAAATCGAACTTAACAGATGAAAACCAAGGTACTCTCCATGGACAAATTAACATGAGTGATGTCACAACCTGTTTTGCTTATAAACAGGACCCTAATAACATTGATGTAAATAAATGATTTCTTTTTGAAAAGTGAGATACAGTTCTTTGAGTTTGCCTGATACAGCTGCCCCAGACCATCCATTGACACCAATCTATTGTAAAACGCCCATGCTGATTGCGGGTGAGGAAGAGTGCATAGCGTCATTCACAAACTGATGTGTTGCTTTCTTAGTGAGTGGTGGAAAGGGGGGGCTTCAAATCAGAGGAAGTTTTGGGATACCCAAAATCCCGTTATTTTGTCACTTGTGAAGCATGTTTTATGATACCACATTTTCCTTTTTGGGCCATTCTTTATAACACAATGAGCTTCAAATAGTAACAAGTTTATTCCAAGATTAAATGATCATGTCATTACCAAAGAAGTAAAGTACTGTACACTGCCGCTTATAAGCCCTGGGCTTGTGCAATTTCATAAGGGCTTTTAGATGGGCTTATAAACGGAGAGGGTTATCTCTGAGGGGCCTTGTAACCAGAATAAAGACACCATTTGAAACGAGCTGTAGCTGTGTTGATTGAAATAGGTTTTTCATTTACTGGTCTTTAATTATGCTTTAAACATCATTAATAAAACAAATCCAAGACAAGGAAAGCTATTTAGGGGCTTATAACTGGATGTATTTTGTGGTTTACAGGTATATGGGAGCTTATAAGTGGGGGGGAAGCTTGTAAGCAGCAGTTTACAGTATTTCATAAAATTAAGTGTATAACATACTAGAATTACATTGTGGTGACCAATAGCACCATTGTTAGGGAAATATAAATGGTAAATTAACCTGTTGTTGCACATGAACCCAGCCAATAGAGACAAATGTTTTGTGGCTCAACTACTAGCAACGAAAATCTCTCTGTTAGTGCACATGAAGTCAAAACATGATCTTATAATTATAGTAGCATTCTGGGTAACCAACTCAAAAACAGTGGATTGCGGATGAGAATGTAAACACATTGGAAACCTATCTCCGTCAGCTTTCTCCCAATCTTATTCTCCTTTTCAGTCCTCCCTCTTCCCAAACAGCAGCATAACAGGCCATATTCATATTCTCGGTATTGAATTGGAACTAGCTTGCAATGGAGGCTCTTGCGGGGAATATCATTAAAAAGAGTTCAAAGTAATTTGCATTTGAAAAGACTCCCTGCATTAGCCTCAGTTGCAAGCTAGTTCCAGTCCAATACCGAGAATAAGAATATGGTCTATTGAATCAGTTTTTTTAACACAGTTCTTTTTTACATGAAGCAGGTGTTGTTGTGTGTTCTAAATTGGAAGGGGAAAATGCTTACAAATGTTTTACATAATTTTTATTACCCTTTTTCATGGTTAATTGTGACTAAAGAATTATAGCAAATGCTCTGCATTTGATCTTAGGTTACCTCTGTTAGTGCTATTCAAAGGTTTCTTTTTATTTGTTTCTGCTGTGTTTAAATTATGAAAGTGAAAAAAAAACCCCTAAAAGATATGTTTATGGTGTTACAAATTTGAGTAAAAATCCATTACCTGGTAGGTTTATAAAATGCTAAGCAACTTTAATAATACACCAACATGAATTAACTCTAGTACCGTCCAAACCTTTGGCCTTTCAAGGAATGTCCTAAAGCCAAGTAAGGGCCTCACAATTAAAGAAGTCATTGCATACAATAGGGTTTTTGGAAAGCAACCTCAACTTGTTGCAATCAAATAGTTACAGCTGCTCCAGAACTAAAAGAGCAAAATGACACGAAGACTCTATATCTACACTGAATTAAAATTTCATGAAAATGCAAGTAAATCTATCATTGAAATAACTTGTACAAAACAGAAGTAAGCTGAACTTTTCACATACAACATAGTGCAATTTCATGTAAACTATTAAGTAATGTTAGTGGAGAAAACACGCACGACTCTCTAATACAAGGAACACAAACTATCCTATTTGAAAACAGAAACATGATCGCCAATGGTAGTTAAGCGATCCAGGTTAGAATGAAATGAATGAAAAAATCCTTCCAGATACATTGAAAGGGCCTTGCTATTCCTTCGTACATCATGCCGTCCACCGAAAAGGTTAATATTCCTGTCCTTCCCTTTCACTGATAACTTTATTCTTTGTGAGTGGTTCTTTTGTTATGTTATTAGAGAGTGATAAGTTGGATGTTCAAATAAACCTGAGCAACTCTTGGCAATTAGAAGGCTATAAGTGGACACAGTAGCCACTTGTAACATTGTTACATGTATTTTAAGTGGACTTACGTTTTGCAATTTTCATGACTACACACAGATTGTGAAATTAAATACCTGCCAGTAAAAAACTAAAAATTTACCAAAACATCAACTTAGTATACACAACATTGATAACATTCTCTCTTTCTCTCAATTACACAGTCAACCTGTTTCAAGTTTTGGTTCTGTTCAATATTGTAAAATGTGGCTTCTACTAAAAAATCTGTGGCATTGATTCAGACACTGCAGTACCTGTTTGTAAACTCAGATCAGCATTTGGTAAATTTTAGGAAAATTTTATTCTTTTCAGTATGATTTTTTTGCCAAACTGCAAAGTTTAAGTCACAGAAAATTTGTCTCTCATTTTTGTGAAATTACATTCCCACAAAATATGAGAACAATTTATTATAATTTTATTTCCATGCTGACCTGATTTTGAAACAAATTACCTGAATAGTCCCTGAATTGCAATAATA